ACTGCAGGCTGACTCTGCCCACTGCCAGGAGTTCAATCCTGAGGTTTACTCAGCCTTCCATTCTTCCGAAGATGGTCAAAGGACCCTGATTGTTGGGGGCAATGTGCTAGTAAGGCTTCTACATTGTAAACTCCCCAGAGTGTGCTGTAAACAGCTATAGGGTAGGAGATAAATCTCAGTGCTGTTGCTGCTGGTGAAAAAAGAGACATAGTTTATATCGCATCTAGCAGGTCCCTGGAGATGGCTTGCATCAGAAAGGAGAAAAACAAAGCGTCTACATGCTTCCCATTTAGGAGTTCCTTGATGGAAACTTTGGAACTTTTGAATAAAGGCTGGGAGCTGGGAACTTAGACCACACATAACAGAATAACAGAGTAGGAAGGGACCTTGGAGATAATAGAACAGAACAGAACAGAATAGATCTGGAAGGGACCTTGGAGGTCTTCTAGTCCACCTCCCCTCAAGCAGGAGAACCTATACCATCTGAGACAGGTGACTATCCAGTCTCTTCTTAAAGATCTCCAGTGATGGGGTGCCCACGATTTCTGGAGGCAAGCTGTTCCACTGGTTAATTGTCCCCACTGTCAGGAAGTTTCTCCTCAATTCCAGGTTGCTTCTCTCCTTCATTAGTTTCCATCCATTGTTTCTTGTCCTGCCTTCAGGTGCTTTGGAGAATAATTCAACCCCCCCTTTTTGTGGCAGCCCCTCAAATACTGGAAGACTGCTATCATGTCAACCCTATTTCTTCTTTTCTTTAGACTAGCCAAACCCAAGTCCTGCAGTCGTTCTTCATATGTTTTCGTCTCCAGGCCTTGGATAATCCTAGTTGCTCTTCTCTGAACTTTTTCCAAAGTCTCAACATCTTTTTTGTGATATGGTGACCAGAATTGGCTGCAGTATTCCAGGTCTGGTCTGACTAGGGTTTTATAAAGCTGTACTAATACTTCGTGTGATCTTGATTCAATGCCTCTGTTTATGCAACCCAGGATTATATCAGCTTTTTTGGTTGCTGCTGCACACGGCTGGCTCATGGTCAAGATTGTGTGGCTGGGACCAACAATGGGGGAGGCTGGTTAGAAAAAAGGTCCTCTGAGTAGTACTTCATTCATGGGTTTGGGGAATTGACTTGGAGGAGATATGAGCATGTTTTCCTGTTATTATCTAGAGGGCAGCTTGGGTAACCTCCGCAGAAGGAAGGTAAAAATCGTTGTATCCCTGTGGTGTTGTGTGGAGGGAGATAAGGGAAGGCCATTCCAGAAGGGAGATCTCTAATTGGATGGAGATGTCAACTTGCAAATCCAGTTGTCCTGGGCTGGGGGGCCACATGATCAGCTTGCTACTGACCTGCAACAAGGCCACCTCCGACCGCAATGTAGTGTTGGGTGAAGAAACAGACACATATCACCAAAACCTGGTTGAAGAAAGGTCTTGCTCAGACATCAGCAACCCTGAGACCATCCTTTGTGGTGATGGGAATGCTGACCGTAAGAGACACCATGTTGGTGGCCAAGAACTTGGCTCTTGAGAAGCAGGGTGTGAATGGCTGTATGTGTGATTAGGCGATGATTTGTCGGAGTGGCAAGCTTCTAGAAGTTCCCTAGCATTTTTGAGAGGAAACCCCAGTCCTAACTAACACTGATGAGGTTACCTAGTTTGGGTTATGAAACGTTGGAAAGAAACCAGCAAGCTTAGAGACAACCAAGGACCCCTCCTCCTCCTCCTCCTCCTCCTCCTCCTCCTCCTCCAAATTGCTGTGTATAAAAAGTGGGTGCTCCTGCCCACCTAGGTACCTGGAAGAGAATGTGGAATTCATTGAACTAACATGAGAGAAAAACAATGAATTAAATTAGAGCTCAAAGCATTTTTGGAGACCACACACACACACACACACACTTTACAGTCTGTTTCTGTTGCTCCCCTCTGGGAGGAGGTTTCGAAGTATTTATAGCAGGATTACCCAATTCTGTAATAGCTTTGTTCCCTATGCCCTCCATCTGGTAAACTCGCCAGATTTGTTTTTCTCACCATGTACATAACCCGAACTAGACTGTGTTATTTCTCTGTGTCATATAATATATGCAGGTGTATGCATAATTCTGTATTCATTTATTTATTTTTGTCATATTTATGTAGTGTATATTGGAGGTGGTGATCCTTTCAGAGTTGTATGCAACGAAATTTCATTTTAATGTATGCCGATTAGTGTACATTCAAAGTGATAATAAAGTTATTCTATTCTATTCTATTCTATTCTATTCTATTCTATTCTATTCTATTCTATTCTATTCTATTCTATTCTTCTAAATGCAGTCTTTTCCTTCATTGCTTCCCAGAAGATGCATCGTCCTTCTCCTGAGTGCACAGAAGTTTTTGTAGGGCCCCTTTGACCTCCTTGTTTCGGAGGCTGTATATTAGGGGGTTCAGCATGGGGGTGACAACACAATATAGGATGGAGATCAGAGTGTCCACACCCAAGGAGTAGCCCACACTCGGACGGTTGTAATTCAAGTTGATCATCCCAAAGTAGACAATGACGGTAATCAAGTGGGCAGCACAGGTGGAGAAGGTCTTTCTCCTTCCAGTGCTAGAACGGATCTTCAGAATTGTAGATAAGATGTAGACATACGAAATGACAACCAGGAGGAAAGGGCAGAACCCCACAAAGATACTTGCTGTGTGAAGAGTCAGCTCATTGGTGTAGGTGTCACTGCAGGCAATTTTCAAGAGTGGGGGGACATCACAAAAGATGTGATGGATCTGGTTGTTTCCACAGAAGGTCAAATCGGTGGCCAATGCAGTGTGAATGGCAGAGTCAACAAGGCCCCAGATCCACGAAGCTGTAGCCAGAGGGACTCGCACCCTCCTACTCATGAGCTGAGAATAGCGCAAAGGTTCACAGATGGCTGCATAGCGGTCATAGGCCATCACAGCCAGCAGTGCAGATTCAGTCCCTGCAAAGCTCATCAGGAAGTACATCTGGGCCATGCACTCGTTGTAGGAGATGGAGGGCTGCTGGCGCAGGAGGTTCACCAGGATGGCAGGGAGATTGACTGAGGAATAACAAATGTCTAAGCAGGACAAATGGCTGAGGAAATAGTACATCGGGCTGTGGAGGCGCGAATCCAGCTGGATCAAGATGAGAATCATTGAGTTGGCCACCAAGGTGATGAGGTAGATGGCCAGGAAGAGCAGAAAGAGGAAGGGGCGGCCTCTGGGTATGCCAGAGAAACCCAGGAACAAGAATTCAGTCACCTGCAGGGTCTGATTGACACCTTCCATGAAGTCCATCAAGCGGTAGAATTCATGGGTAGCCACTGATATCAAACCACATCTTGAAGAAGAAGCTTCAGAAGCAGGAGTGAACCACAGGACTTCCCCAAGGCCACCTGGAATAATTAAACAATGCTTTGCATGAGTAAAAAAAGTATCAGGTAGGAGAGATGATTCTGTTGATCAGGAATCTAGTTTTTCTATTGACTGTCTTGAGGGAGCCTATGTGGCCATGTCATCAATGCCTTTGCAAGCCTTCAAGGTCATGGAAAGTTCGGCGGGAAACCCATAATTTCCCTAAGATAACCCTTGATGTCCTTGGAAGACCTCCAAGGGAGCTGGGTGACTATTTCTGTACTTCTTGTCTTATTTTAGGGGTTGTTCCAATATCTCAGGGGTTGCCACCGAAAAGAGGGGCTCAACCTGCCCCTGAAGGCAGGACAAGAAGCAACGGATGGAAACTCATCAAGGAGAGAAGCAACCTGGAACTAAGGAGAAACTTTCTGACAGTTAGAACAATTAACCAGTGGAACAATCTGCCTCTAGAAGTTGTGGGTGCTCCATCAATGGAAGTCATTAAGAAGAGATTGGACAGCCATTTGACTGAAATGGTATAGGGTTTCCTGCCTGAGCAGGGAATTGGATTAGAAGACCTCCAAAGTCCCTTCCAATTCTACTACTACTACTGCTGCTGCTGCTGCTGCT